ACAATCTCTACCACCCTTAGTCAACACCTCCAATGTTGTTCCCCATTAGAATACAGCAATAAAAAAGAAAAGCTTCTTATTCCATAAATCATACAAAAAGCAGAATTCTTCCCCAGTCAGGAAATTTGGAGATGAGGCCTAGAGGTGGAAAGAAAAAAAAATGGGTCAGAAGTAGTAGCAATTCATTATATGCTTATTAACTTAGTTATATCTAGTTAACCATTTCATTTCAGATGTATATCAAGAGGTCAGTTTTCCTGAAAAGGTCCCTTCTTATTCTATCCAGACAGGAAAGTATGTTCCATGACTTTTCCTGTAAGTGCCGTAAACTTTAATCTAATAATGACGCTAAGACTATTATTTCTCTGAGGTTCATGCTTCAAATCTGCTTTTCCAGCTGATGCAGCTGTTGCAAGTCAGGTTTTTTTATGTGGAAAAAGGAGCGACATGAGTCTTCCATTCATCTTGTAGCTCCTACCTCTGATATACTGTACAGGGTATAAGACATCACTGCCTTTGGGCACCAATGTTATTTCAAAAGCCAATTATCTATTTGCTGAGATCCTTGAATTGTGCATATAAAATGTGAGCCACTAAATGTCCTGTTTTACAATAAAGCCTTTTCTTTTAAAAAGCACCTTCCCAAAAAATGCCATAAAGCAAGATACTTCACACTCAAATCAACCCTAAAATCCAAATGAAATAAATCCTTATGCTAATGTTGAAGGAAAAATCTTCATCGTGGTTCAGTCCAAGCCGGGGATAAACAACATGGTGACTGCTTTAGAAAGAAGTTTGCAGTTTATTGAAGAAGAGAGTCAGACAGAAAGATGGCTCTGGAAGAAAAGAGAGAGAGCACATATGGAGAGTGGGTTTTTATACTCTCTGGAGCCTTTTGCTTGGAGTTGTTTCCTGTTCCTGTTTGAGGCTTTGTATTTCCTGTGTCATGTATTCTGACCTGAGTCTGGGTGTGCCCTTTGGCATCTGTGAGTTAATCCTATTATGTCCTGTCTTAGACTTTGGGTGGGGTATGTAGATTTTAGTGTCTTTGTCTTCTTAATCTTCTAGCTGAGGGCTTCCAACCTTCTTGGATTATTTACATCTGCATTTGTACAGAGCTAGTTTCTGCTTGGGGGAGGGAGACGTGGGACTATTAAGAAAACTGGGCATGCTTTTCTACCTCTTTAAGATATTTTGAGGAAATATATTTTTCTGCCCTTTTAATATTTCCTTCTTTGGGGGGCTGACTTCCCACATTAATAAGAGTACTTTGTTTTATAACGTCATTAAATGCCCAGCAAAATCAAAATGACCATGTTTGTAGAAGGTAATTAGATTTCATTTCTTTTTGCATCTGTATTTCCCCTTCCATAGACACCTTTATGGGGGCTCTTAAAAACGATGGGGAACTTATTTTCTAAGATATTTGCATTGGTAGCTTTTATCCTGGATCCTATTATCCATGGCATTCACATATTGGTATTTGATTTATGCAGCTGTTGGGACACAAAAAGCAATGAAAACAAAAAGCATTTGGGAGATTGGCATGACCCTAAGAAGCATGGAGTCCACCAACACTTTCTCCTGAAAGGCAGCCCTTCTGAACCAAGGTAAAACGTCAGTCTTACATTTAATTGGCTCCAGTGTCCTTGGTGCATAACAAGAGAGGAAAATGGGGCGGGAACCAGTTTGGTCTAGTGGCAATGTTTCTCAACCTTGACAATTTTAAGGCATGTGGACTTCAACTCCCAGAATTCCACAGCCAGCAATGTTGGCTGTAGAATTCTGGGAGTTGAAGTCCACATGCCTTAAAAGTGTCAAGGTTGAGAAACACTGGGTTAAGGCATCAGGCTAGAACAGGGGTCTTCAAACTTGGCCCTTTTATGACTTGTGGACTTCAACTCCCAGAATTCCTCAGCCAGGTCGCACCTTAGCCATGAAAGCCAGCTAGGTGACTGAGCCAGCCACTGTCTGTCAGGCCAACTTACCTCACAGGGTTGTTGTTGTGGGGAAAATAGGAGGAAGGTGTGTTGGATATGTTCACTGCCTTAATTTATTTGTAAAATTAATGAAGGCAAAATATGAAGGGATAAATGAATGAAGTGTTTGGCTCTATCTAACATTGGATATCATGCTGTCTTCCCACCTCATTGGCCATCAGCCACCATTGACAAGATGATAGCATTATTGATTCTGAAGCCCCTGCAGTTTTTCAAAAATTATTATCTATTAATTGAACATATGTAAGTTAGTATTTTTATATATTTTTATTAAGACTTTTTAAAAAGGAAGATTAAAAACTAATACAAACCAATGTATATTAAGGAAGAAAAAAGAAAAAGGTGATCAAAGAGAAAGCTAAAAGGGCAAGAAAAATAGAAAAACTGGAAGTAAATGCTGGTTTCTGGAAAAAACAAAATAAATTCATAAAGTAGTCATGTGACATGGAAAGCTGCAAGCAGTAAACATGGCCCAGTTGCTAAATGCCCAATATGCAATGATGTGACCATGGGGGGGGGGGACAAGCCAATGGAACCTTGAAGCCAGGTTGTAAGTTATCTTTTGGGGGTGTCCTAACTTCAAATGATTGCTAAGCAATTGCTAAGTTGAGGACTACCTGTATAAATTTTGGCACCCATTTATACTTCACTAAAGATGTAACTCCGTGATAAGTAAAATTGCAGTTACTACAGCCAGTCTTTGACTGACGACAATTGAAATTTTGTCTAGAAATTAGGCAGTTTTGCCCCATTTTACAATTTTTCTTGCCACAGTTATTAAATGAATCACTACAATTGCCAAGTTAGTAATGATTATTAAAAGTGAATCTGGCTTCCCCATTGATTTTGCTTGTCAGGTGGTCACAAAAGGGGATCACAAGATCCCAGGTCATAAATATGAGCCGGTTGACAAGTATCTGAATTTTGATCATGTGATCATGGAGATGCTGCAATGGTCGTTAAGTGTGAAAAATGATCATAAGCCACTTTTTTCAGCGATGTTGTAACTTTGAACAATCACTAAATGAATGGTTGTAAGTTGAGAACTACGTGTAGCCCACTCAATGGAAGCTGCTTGAAAATATAGCTGCACGCAAGCTGCTGAAAGTGTGAATTGACTGAAAAGCCAAAAATACCTGCACTTACTTTGATACTCAGGGTGCATGTTGGAGCAACAGCTTTATTACACACAACATATAATGTTTAAAGCCAGACTGGCGTACCAGCTTGTTGGTGTTTATCAAAGCATTTTTATAAGTATAAAATTACTGCAAAAATTGCTACCCATTGAAGCTATATTAGCACTTAATCTATTTTTTTATTTGCTTTTCAGTCATTCCCCAACGGAATATAATTATTTTCAAAATCTGGCTATATGCTTGCATAGCATGAACAGAAGCATGACTCAAGACCATATAATTCATATTAGCAGTCTCTCAGGGCACATTAGATATCCCTGAGCAGCTAACTCAGACAACGAGAAGAATGTGGGCTCTGAGCATCTTGGTATACATGGAAACTGTTATGTGGTCATTTAATCACATGCCCAATTTTTGAGGCAAGTTGGCATACCACCAAACAGCTTCTGAAAGTGAGTCTACGAAGCCTGGTAAATTGCCAAAATCTACTGAGCAGTAACCAGTAATCATACTGTGGCAGACCATGCAAAATAAAGGCAAATTGTTGGTGTAAAAAAGTATAGTATATCATAAAAATGTAACAGATATCAAAAAACTTTTTAGACTTAAAAGATTAATTTGAACTCCTACTAAGAACGTTATGAGCTTGGCTTATTCATTCAATTATTTAAATACGAAGTGGGAATAGTAAACGGCATTAGTTCCCGTATATGCAGACAACAGCTTTTTGGATTTACAGATTTCAACTTTGCGTAATTTATGTCTCCCAGACCCTTCCCCTTCCCTACTGCCTCCTTATATATTGCCAAAGATCTGGAAATATTTTAAAATATGGATTCCCAATTATTTGTATTTATTTCAAAGATTGTGAATCACTGTTCAAAATAGCATACAAAACCCACAGCAGTAACCAAGTCCATGCAAAATACTTACTGGGAGCAAGAAAAAGGGGCTAAATTCACAATGCAAGATTTAATGACCCCCCCCCAAAATTAAGCTATTCCCCTGTGTTAATTTGGGGTGAGGGTATTGCCCTCTTTTTAAAAAAAACTTGATCAGATTTGGGCAGCTAAAGCAAGTTTAAAAATTGAGCAACTTTTGCAAATGGTTAAAAGCACGCTCTAGCTATCAGTTTAAATCAGTGAAAAGAATAGGAGTTGTTACAAAGCCACAAGGAATTAGAAAAGTTAGGCAATATTTAAGAGTAGATTTCAGAAAAATACACCCAAGAATGAGAATAAACTTAGGCTATCTGCCTAAATTTAAAGCACCTAAACTCTTTAAAGCACCTACGCCTTTTCCTATTCAAAGAAGCAAAAAGATCAAATACTATTTATGGCTAGATTTTAATAGAATAAAATTGTCTATAAGATAAATGATTTTATTCCCCACTTCTCTTATTTAGCAGCTCACAACACAGTGAGACACGTACCTTATTTAAACAGATGCACACAAATTATCTCATTTTCAGTTGATACAATACAAAAAGAAAAAAGAAAACATGCTGAGGACATAGAAAGAGTGCAGAGAAGAGCAACAAAGAAGATCAGGAGTCTAAATCATATGATGAAGGGCTAAGCTAGGAATGTAGGTATGTTTAGCCTAACAAAGAAAAGGCTTAGGAAAGAACTTCAATACTTGAAGGGCTGCCACAAGGAAGAGGGCATTGATTTAGTCTCCACAGCACTTGAGGGCAGGACAAGAAGCAATGGATGGAAGTTTGTCAGAGGGAAATATAAAGATAAATTTCCTGAAAGTGAGAAGAATTAATCAGTGGAATAGCTTGCCTCCTGGAGTTGTGGATGCTCCCTCAATGGATGTTTTCAAGAAGAGATTGGACAACCATTTATTCGGGATGGTATATAAACTCGTCTTGAGCAGGGGATTGGACTAGAACAGAGTTCCCCAACCTTTCCAGGTTGGCGACCTGGACGGGGGAGAAAGGGGATGATTTTGTGGGTATGATAGATGCATGCATGCATGTACACAAGCGCCCGTGATGTTCGCGAAACTCATGCAAGTGGGGCAGCAAGCATCTGCAACGAGGCTCACGCAAGCCGGGCTGCAAGCACCCGCAACAAGGCTCATGTGAGGCTGCACATGCCCCAGCAACGCTTGCGTAAGTGGGCCCACAAACAACCGATGTTCAAGATGCTGCTCGTGTAAGTGGGCCATGTGTGCGAGGGGCTGTGCACACGCCCACAGACGCATGTGCACCAGCCAGCCACTCACACGGCCTGAAGGCAACTAGGCCTCGGCCCAGTAGTGGCTCACAAGTTGGGGATCCCTGGACTAAATTTCAAAGGTCCCTTTTAAACCCCATTATTCTATGTTCTAACACTAGAGATAACAATCTGGGAAGAGCTTTATGTTGGAAAGATGCTTGGTTAGTTGCCTCTGAGTCTACCTCAGAGAAAAGGAAAGCTCAAACAAACTCTTAGATCAAGATCTAATTAAAAATAGGAGAAGGTTCCAATCTAGAAAATGACTGAAGTAACTGCTCTCTGATAACTCAATTCCTTTTCTGGCCTGGCCAGTAATGTAATTTGTGTAGATTTCCCTGCTATCTGACTTACACACACAAATACAGACACACACACACCCCTCAGGTTCTATTCCAATAGCCCTGGCAGAAAGTAAAACGGAGTGGTTTCTCCTGTCACCAACCCAGCTGCTATAGGCCTGGAAACTATCATTCCCAGTTGATGGCTAGGTTGAAGGAACACACAGGAATCAGGAGAACATGTTCAGAGCGCCTCTTGCAGGGGGTTCTTCTCCCAGAAGCCTCCCAGTCCAAGGACCAAAGTTCAAATTTAGGGAAGAACAGCCTTCTTTCGTCTTTTTCAACCCGTCCCTCTCACCACGCCTTTGAACACATTCCCCATACTCTTCAACAGCTCCATTGCCACAACCCACTAAACCTGATTCATGCTAACCAACGCTTGGGGCGAAGAAGAGCGTTTAGCATGGTGCAAGCCGGCCCAGCCAGCCAACTCAGTCAGGAGTTCCCTGCCGCCATGCAGGGCTGCAAAAAAAGGCCGGTTTCGGCTCTAGGTCCACGGAACCGTCTGAAGACCGCCCCTTTCCGCCTCCCGACCCCAACCGGTCTGGGTCCGCGCCCGGTTTCCCGCCTTGCGCCGCCTTTTCTTCTCCCCGGTTTTCCCTAGCGCCCCGTCACAATACCCGCCGGGCCAACCCAACAATCCGGGGCCGCCCTCCCCGCAGCCGAGATTGGGCAGAGCCAGAAGGGTGCGCGCGTGTGGATGCTGTCCGCGGGGACCGGACCGGAGGCGGAGCGAGAGAAGCCACCGCCGCCCCCCGCAGTCGCCGCTGGCCCCGCGCCCACCCGCCAATCCCAGGCGCAGCCGCCGCTTCCCGCGCGCCCCGACGAGCCCCGGCTCCTGCTGCCCCCGCGCGGCCGCCACCCAATCGCCCAGCTGGGGGAGCGGCGCGGGGCGGGGCTGGAGTTGCCCGGGCCGCCACTGCCGCTGCTGCCTGCGGCCGGAGCCGGCGGGGGGAAGCAGCAGCCGCCGCCGCCTCCTCCACCGCCGCCGCCGCCATGGAACAAAGAAAGCGCTGAGCCGAGCGCGGGCCGTGGCGGCGGCAGCAGCAGCAGCGCTATCAGCGTCGCCAGCGGCGGCGGCGGCGGCAGCAACGCCCAGGCCGCCCCCCAAGAGACAGCGGCGGCGGCGGAGGAGGAGGAAGCAGCGGCCGGAGAGCCCGCCGTCGCCGCAGCAGCAACAACAGCATGTCTCCCGGCCCCGTGTAGCTGGAGCGCTTCGCCGTCCCCGTCTTCTCCGCCGCCTTGGCCGGCCATGCCGAGCGGCAGCGCCTCGCCGTCGCCTCCTGAAGAGCCTCCCGACCCGGGAGCGCGGCTGCTGCTGCCAGCCCCACCCAGGCCGCCGCCGGGCCTGCTGCTCCAGTACCACCACCACGCTCAGCCGCCGCCACTGCCGGCTCCCCCTCAGCCGCCGCTGCTGCCGGACACGGGGCTGCTGAGGGAGCGCCTGGCCGGCCTGGGCCTCCGGGAGTGCGGGGACGAGGCCGCCCAGGAGCCAGACGAAGAAGACGAGGAGGAGGAGGAGGAGGAAGAGGAGGCGGCGCCTGAAGAAGGAGAAAGAGACGGCGGTGACTTGGAGCTGGACTTGGAGGAGCCGCCGGACGACGAGGAAGACGAGGCCGCCGAGGAGGAAGAAGAGGACGAAGACGAGGAGGGCTTCCTGGAGCCCCGGGAAGACGGCGGCGGCGGCGTCTGCGGCCCGGTCTCGCTGCTGTTGCTGCCCCCGCCGGCCTCGCCGCCGCTGCTACCCCCGGGGCTGGGCTCGGTGCTGCTACCCCCGCCGCCGCCCGTCCCTGCTCTGCCTCTCCCCGCCGGCTCGGCCTTTGAGGCGCCCGAGGCGGGGGCGCTGGGCGGGGCGCTCTACGGGCCCGGCGACGATGTCCACGCCGGGGTGATGGCGGCGATGCTCTCGCAGTCCTACGGGCTGCCCGGAGTGGCGGCGGTGGCCGGGATGCCCCCTGGATCGGTCTTGAACGGAGAGCAGGCGGCGCTGCTGCGAAGGAAGAGCGTCAACACCACCGAGTGTGTCCCGGTGCCCAGCTCCGAGCATGTGGCCGAGATCGTGGGCCGGCAGGGTGAGTTGGGGCGGCCCCGCGCGTGGGCCTCGAGGTCGACCGGTCTCGGGGGGATTCCTTATCGGAGGGGGGCGGCCCGTTGGGGGATCATGCAAGCCGAGGTGGGGAAGCTGGGACAGCGATTTCTCCCAGACTGGGGACTCCTAGTCGACCCCAGCTGGGGAGGAAGATGGGAGTCCGATCCCAAAGCACTTGATGGGCACTAGATTATTTTAGAAAAGGTGATAAAAGATGAGCGGGTGGAGGAGAAGGGGTGGCAGGAAAAGGGGAACCATTCTCTTTCGCTGCCACCCCAAAAAGAAAGCTGGAATTCTATTGGAATTTTTTCCTCTATGGGTGTTCACTTTGGGAGTTGTGAAGGTTTGCTTTGGGTGGCTTCTAGCTGTGAAAAGTTTGGGGAAAGGTTTGGCTCTGAATTGGTGAAAATAGGGTGCCCTTGCAGAATCGCTCTGCCTTTTATTAGGGAGTGGATAATGGTGTTCAAAACTTAGTTCTGGGTTGCAACATTGCATGCTGAGTAAGAGGAAGTTTGGCCTGAATCGGGATGGTTAGGTTGGGAATGTGGCTGGGAGAAATAGAGAAATGGCCTAATTTGTCAAATCTAAATTTGACAAAAGGATTTAATACAGGATCTAGATAGCTAGATAGGAGGAAGAGAGGGAAGTATGTTGAAATTGTAGGGGAAGCTTGGTTTTGAAATGGTCTTGCAGGTAAAGCAGCTGAAGCAGTGACACTTTGAAAAATGGGTGTGGTTTATAAGGAAAGGTCTGGGAAACAAATCTTTTATACAGGAGGTTTTCACCATGTTGGGCAACATTTGTTGATTGTATTTTCAGAGCAGAGGTTTAGGGTGCTAGGAAATTTCACTACCAAATAACTATTCAGGTATGAGGTCCCATGTTTTGGGGAGGAAAGGCCAGACAGAATATTCACAATCCATACATACCCATCAAACAAAAACACAGAAAATAAATAAGAAATAATAAGGTAAAGAAATGAGTGGCATGGCATAAGGAAAGGATATATAGCTAAATAAGTTAACACCAACACAATTCATTGTACACGGAGTTGTCATATAGTCACCACAACTGAGACTGGCAACTTAATCAGTAAGTGCCGTGCTTGTGATCTAAGTTTAGCCTTCTTTTATTTAGAGACCTGTGAAGGTTGTAAATGTAAAGTTTGAACTGAATTGAATTGAACCTTATTTGGCCAAGTGTAATTAAATACACAAGGAATTTGTCTCAGGTACAAAAGCACTCAGTGTACATAGAAAGCAATAGAATAATCATAATCATAATACCAGTAAAGGGGGCAGTAAGGAAGATAATAAGGATAAATAATAATACTAGCTTGGTCCTAAAGTTACTTTTTCATCACCATTGTTAACTGCGAAGGGTCATTGAATCATTTGCTAAGGAGGAGTATCTGTCATCGCTATGGTAAATTATTTTCTGTGCAAAGTGGTCTTGAGTCCACATTTTGATTCAGAAACACCAACTCTATGAAGGGAATCTAGGGGGAGGGATATAACTTGGGTTTGCTCATTCTGCAAAATGTTCTGAGAGTCACTAATTGTGGTTGGATGTTTTCCTCTTTCTTCTAAATTGGAGATGTTTCCTATCTAGCCTAGATTATTTTTAAGCAGAGTTAAGTTCTGAAGAATCCTTGTTTTGCAAATGAACTATGGGCTTTCAGTTAACACTGAACACAATTGTGGCTAGTTCCATCTAAGTCCATTTAGAAAGCCAATTTAGTGTGGAAATTAAGGCGCCAGGCTAGAAACCAGGAGACCATGAGTTCTAGTTCCACCTTAGAGGTAAAACTACATGATCTTGGATTTGTCTCTTTCAGGCCTAAGAGGAAGGGCAAATGACTTCTCAAAATTTTTTGCCAAGAAAAGTGAGCGGATTACTATTTTGTAGGTAACTGCCAGGAGACCACACTGACTCAAAGACACACACACACACACACACACACACACACATACACACACACACAGAGAGAGTAGAATGTTCAAAAAATAAAAGTAATAGACTTAATATAAAGTGTTTTCTCAATTAATTTTTCCACTTTCATCACATTTATTTATTCAAATTCTATAGAGGTAATCCCCGAGTTATGAGCATTCACTTAATGCTCGTTCAAAGTTACATGATAAGCGCCCCCTAGTGCTTACGAGCAAGTCCTGAAATTATGACTATTGTAGCACCATGGTAGTCGTTCCAGAACAACTACAGAGGCTCTCCAACATTCACCCTATTCCTCCCCGCTCTCCACAACTGCTTCTCCCTCCCTTCCTGCCGCCCCGGACTCACTTACCTTGAGAAGATCTGTCTCTCTGCCATGGTTTCTGCCTTTGAGGGAGAGGAGAGTCAGTGGAAGCTCCTGGATGACATAATATCGCACGAGTTCAGGCACCCATCCTATTTTGCAGAGAATAGGTGCCTGAACTCGCGAGATCATGGACCCCAGAAAAGTTCATCTTCGGTGCAAACACTGTGCCTGTTTCCTGTTCCTCCCCCACTCCTTTCCGCCACCACTGGAACACTTTTTTATCTGAACAGGGACCTTGGGGAGACCGGAAGCTGCATCTAGGAGCAAATGGGGTGCTTGAAAACACAGTGGATCACTGCATCTCTGTTCAGATAAAACGTTTGAGCGTCTGTGTTTGAGCGCCTGTGGGACCCTTGGAAATGCAGTGAATCCGGTAGTAGTGGAAAGGAGTTGGAGGAGCAGGAGAAAGACACAGTGTTGTGCCAAAAATGAAAATTTCTGGGGTCCATGATCTCGTGAGAGTTCAGGCACCCATTCTCTGCAAAAGAGGATGGGTGCCTGAACTTGTGCAATATTACAGCATCCAGGAATTTCCATTGACTTTCCTCTCCCACCAAGGCAAAAATCACGACAGAGAAGAGACAGATCTTCTCAAGGTGAGTCCGGCGTGGCAGGTAGGGAGGGGGAAGCATGAGGTAACTTACTGGGTCAGGGGGGCCTGTTCCATCACTTCCCCACCCTGAGATACACCATGCGCACATAACAAACCATGGATTCGCTCACCCATTCTATTAGCAAACATGTGGGCGAAAGCGGGAGTGATCTTGTTCAAGATACAAGATTCATCCCTACAAGTATTCGAGTTACGAGTAAAATGGGCAGGCTCCATTAGATTCTTAACTCGAGGATTACCTGTAGTCACCCATCTCAATCTAATTGACAAATATAGTTCAGTCGCCATAGGAAAAGAAAAATTCTAAACACACACATGCTACTTTTATTCTTTATATGTCATTCTTGAAATTACAGGAGCTGATCACATCTAGCAGTTGTAGGGGATGAAAGCCTATATCTAGCTGTCTGTTGGTGTTATGATGGCCTCATCCTCTCTAATGTTTCTGAAAGCACCTGAAATGATCCAGGGACTGTTGCCAGTAAGATTCCTCTGCCCTTATACAGTGTGAGAAAGAAATGAAAATAGGAAGGAGGAGATTTTGTCATATACTGGTAGCATGGAAACTGAGTGGCTAAATTAAGCATTGGTTGAAAATTGTGATAAGGACCAAATTACAGAGTAAAAGCAGAATGTCAAAAGAATTTCAAAGGAGAAACAATAATGAGGCCAGAAAAGGAATCTGAACAGAATTTGTTCTAAAATGAGGAAACTAGCAATTTTCTTACGTTTGCCCATTTTTAGCATCAAGTTGCATTGTGAGGACTGGGTGGCTAAAGACGCTGGTCGCTTTAACCATAGTTAGAATAATTTGTTAAATCTCATATATAATTTTCCCACTCTATTGGTTTCAGAGAGGACTCACAATTTTTATAGTAAATGATATGTGCACTTAGAGATATATCCTTTTCGGGATTAGTGAAAGATATTTTTTTAAAAGGAGATAAAAAAGAACTTTTTTTCACAAAGTCTAGCCTACATTGCATAATACATTTTCTCACACAGACACAAGTACAGAATACCAGGCCAGAGTTCACTTGAAAGTAAAATTATAATATTTGGCAGGAACAACTCCATTCACTTGGTATATGGGTGCAGAGTGTTTGTATCCAGTCACAGTATTTCTAGCAAAAAGGATTTCCAGGAAATAAGAATGGAAACATGCTAGAAGATGGGTAGACCAATGATTTGTGTTTCATATTCGTGAGGTTGAGAGGAACATTCCCAAATCTAGAGACCACTCACACCTTGGAAATTAAGGTGCCACTGAAATTATAAATGTCAGTAGAGAAAGTGTGGGCCTTTTGTCCATACATTTAAAGGTACAAGGCCCTTTGATTTGAACAATATATCTAGAACATAGTAACTCAGCTGCTCCAAATCAGTTATCCCAAGAATTTGAAAAACTTCTTCCTGTTATTAACAATAGTAATAGTGTGAAAGGTTGTTTTGTCTGTAGCACTGATTTAGTTCTAAAAGTCTGAAAGCCCCAGAAAAAGTCAGAACAGGAAAGCAAAGGTGCATGTTTCTAAAGTTCACAGTTGATTCCAAATAAGCGTTTCATGAATAACTAATGTTGCTACACCTGACATGCTCTTCAAACTCCTTGTTGGACATAGTTGATGCATCTGAACTCTTGAACTGAGTTTTATAGCAATTCTAGTGGAAACGTGTCTTGCTTGTGCACAAGAGCCTCAGTACTTTGAGTTGTGGATTTGGCAGGACAATTTATAATTTTAATGGAGGCAAAATGCCTGGCAGCTTTTAGGATGGAATAAGAGGAGAGGAGAAGAGGGTCTTCAAATCCAACTCCCTGCACTATGGTTGTCCAATCACTTCTTAAAAACTTCCAGTCACAACTTCTGGAGGCAAGTTGTTCCACTGATTAATTGTCAGGAAATTTCTCCTTAGGTAGCTTCTTTCTTTGATCAGTTTCCATCCGTTGCTTCTTGTCCTGCATTCAAGTGCTTTGGAGAATAGCTTGACTCCCTCTTCTTTGTGGCAATCCCTGAGATATTGGAACATTGCTATCATGTCACCCCTCGCCTTC